AAGGGGGGGGAAAACCCCAGATCAAAACCCCTTCACAAAAATTATTAATACATTCATGGGAAGTGCTTACAAGGAAGAAACCATGAAGGGAGAAAAAGTAGATAATAAAACAAAAAAGGCCCTTGGGCTTGCTTGACCCGGGCCAAAAAACAAATTAGATACCACCCCATTTTTGTCACTTGAACAGTTCGAGAAGCTGAATGTTGGTTCCCAGAAAATAATGAATTTTTTAATATGCATCCCTTTTCCCATCTTTTGGGATTTGAGAAGACAGAATGTAAGTGTGGTGGAGGGACGGGTGCATTACGTAGAATGGAAAGGGGGGAAAGCCTGGAACGATGGGAAACATGACAGAAATGTTAAAAAGGAAGGGGGGGGTATAGGTTGGAGGGGGTTGGTACTTTTGTTTAATTAAAAAAGTATGAAAAAAGGGGAAGGGACCAGGGAAAAAGGGGGAGAATGTAAAAAGTCCCCTTATATAAAGGGGAAAGGGGGCAAAAGAGAAATTTTAAAAAATTTTAGAGGAAAAAATTTTTCCCGAATACCAGGAAAAAATATACGGTGAGTTATAATTGAAAAAATTGGGTAAGAAAAAAATGTAAATTGCGGACCCAGCAAGGAGGCTTTTAGAGTTTGGGGAGGGGGTTGTTTAAACAAGTGTTTAAAATTGAAAAAATATAATTTAACTATTTAATAAAGGTAGGGAAGTTTTTTTTGGGATTTTTGGAATTTTGAAAAGGCATATGATAGAGTTTGGGAAAAAGGAGCAATGTGGGAGAAGTTGAAGTACAAATGGACCCCCCCATAACGATGGCAACGCATAGCGATTTTTTTCCCCCCCTAACGATTCTTTTTTTCGCAAAAATTTTTTCCCCCATACCGATTAAAAACCCCCCCAAAAGATTTTCGTCCCAGACGCGTCCAAAGTTTCCCTCGCCAGCCTCACCTGTTCCGCTCCGTCCCATTGTTTACCAGGGCCCGCCTCCCCCCGGTAACAACCAAGCCTCCCCTCGGGGGAAAATTTTTTGAAATTTTTACAGTATTTTTTGGTGTGTTTTTGGAAAAAAAGGACCATGGGCCCCCAAAAAAGCTTCTAGTGCCAACCCCGGGGGTAAAAAGGGTGAGAATTAGTATTTAAATTAGAAAGATTTTTAAGGGTTTTTGGGTAAAACCCGAGAAAACCTAGCCAGTTGTGGAAACCATGGTGCCTACTTCAAAGTTAAGGAAATGTTGAAGTTTGGGGTTTTAACCCGCCAAAACCCCCTTTTAGATGAAAATCCCCCCTGACCCCAGCTGTTTTCAAGCCGTGCTTTTGGCTATTTCAATTTAAAATGTTATGGCCCATTTTAGGGAAAAAATCTTGAAAAGGAAAGGGGGGTACCCGAGCTCTATGGGCAATTTGTTTTTTGCGACAGAGGTTCCCGTGGGCTCTCAAACTGGGCCCAGGGATTTAAAAAAAGAAGGGGGTAACCCCCGAAAAGGGCTTGCTACCTCAAGTCCCCAATGGGGGGGGATTCCCCTTTTAAAAAAAGTAAGAAGTTAAAGCTCTCCCTCCCCCATCCCACCCAAAACATCACCAATCTTCAATTTAAAAAAAAGTGTCATTTAATTGTGCATGCCCTTTTTTCAGTTGTGTGTATTAAAAAATTTAAAAATTTCAAAGTGGTAAAAAAAAATTTTTTTTTTTACTTTGGGGGTTTTGCCCCCGGATTAATTTTTTTTTCCATTATTTTTTTGGGGGAAAAATTTATTCGCATAACGATTATTTCGCATAAAGAGAGCCCCCTTGCACGGATTAAAATCGTTAAAACCCGGGGGTTTTCCCCTGTAATGGAAAAAGGGGGTAAGTTTTCTAAATGCTGTAAAGAGCCCTTTTTTTGAGGAAAATGAGGGCCCATTGGGGTGTTAAAAAGAGGGAGAATACCCCCCGGTAAAAGTAGGTCTTAGACAGGGATGTGTAATGTCACCCTGGTTGTTTAATATATTTATAGATGGGGTTGTAAAAGAAGTAATGCTAGGGTGTTCGGAGAGGGGTGGGATTAAATTATGGGGAATCAAATTCAAAATGGGGAAATTTACACAGTTACTTTTTGCTGATGATACTGTGCTTATGGGAGATTCTAAAGAAAAATTACAAAGGTTAGTGGATGAGTTTGAGAATGTGTGTAAAGGTAGAAAGTTGAAAGTGAACATAGAAAAGAGTAAGGTGATGAGGGTATCAAAAAGATTTAGATAAAGAAAAATTGGATATCAAATGGGGAGGGGAGTATGGAAGAAGTGAATGTTTTCAGATACTTGGGAGTTGACGTGTCGGCGGATGGATTTTTTGAAGGATGAGGTTAATCATAGAATTGATGAGGGAAAAAAGGTGAGTGGTGCGTTGAGGTATATGTGGAGTCAAAAACGTTATCTATGGAGGCAAAGAAGGGAATGTATGAAAGTATAGTAGTACCAACACTCTTATATGGGTGTGAAGCTTGGGTGGTAAATGCAGCAGCGAGGAGACGGTTGGAGGCAGTGGAGATGTCCTGTCTAAGGGCAATGTGTGGTGTAAATATTATGCAGAAAATTCGGAGTGTGGAAATTAGGAGAAGGTGTGGAGTTAATAAAAGCATTAGTCAGAGGGCAGAAGAGGGGTTGTTGAGGTGGTTTGGTCATTTAGAGAGAATGGATCAAAGTAGAATGACATGGAAAGCATATAAATCTATAGGGGAAGGAAAGAGGGGTAGGGGTCGTCCTCGAAAGGGTTGGAAAGAGGGGGTAAAGGAGGTTTTGTGGGTTTGAGGGGCTTGGACTTCCAGCAAGCGTGCGTGAGCGTGTTAGATAGGAGTGAATGGAGACGATTGATACTTGGGACCTGACGATCTGTTGGAGTGTGAGCAGGGTAATATTTAGTGAAGGGATTCAGGGAAACCGGTTATTTTCATATAGTCGGACTTGAGTCCTGGAAATGGGAAGTACAATGCCTGCGCTTTAAAGGAGGGGTTTGGGATATTGGCAGTTTGGAGGGATATGTTGTGTATCTTTATATGTGTATGCTTCTAAACTGTTGTATTCTGAGCACCTCTGCAAAAGCAGTGATAATGTGTGAGTGTGGTGAAAGTGTTGAATGATGATGAAAGTATTTTCTTTTTGGGGATTTTCTTTCTTTTTTTTGGGTCACCCTGCCTCGGTGGGAGACGGCCGACTTGTTGAAAAAAAAAAAAAAAAAAAAAAAATTATTATATTAATGGAAAAGTGCTAAACATGTTCAGTTGTGGTTGTGTAGCACCTGAGGACTGGGAGGCACTATGTTCATGTCAAGGAGAGAGAGCTCCAATTCTTTGAACCAGGAGCCTGTCCTTGGCATCTACCTTAGAGGGTACATAAATAGTGGCTTTTTTTTTTTTTTTTTTTTTTTTGCAAATATAGAAACCGATCTTTGGGCAAGAAATTAAAAAGAAACTCTTCTGTGCACTCTGAGCTCATATCACAGATGTGAAAATTAATCAACCTTACCTGGACTTCTAGTTCAGTGCCATCAGGTGATACAGAAAACACATTACAGAAGACCTGCATTTCTGTTCTTTCTTGCAGTTTCTATAATATTTGCTAAATACCTAATAAGGAATCTCAGACATAGTTTTCAGCTTTGTGTTACACCCCTGTACTTTTCAAACATACATACTATTTTGATACTGCATTTATAAAAAACTGTCTGAAACAACTTAAGCTTGTGTTACGCTGACAGACAGTTTTCAGGTTGCAAAACGAACAAGTTACCACCCCATGAAGTTTACTATTCATTCTATTTAAGCAACTGGTAATATAAAAAAAATGCTATGGAGCTGCTTTTTAGTTTTCATTGACAAAAATAATGATTTTGTTCAAGAGGTTGAGAAATCATTTACTTGATGATTTTATTAAAAAGGATGAGTGATCATTTCAGTGTATTACCCCAGTTGAACCATGTAACTTCTCTGAAGAAAATAAGATCACCAGTTGTATAACCCTGGTGGTTTAGTGCTTAGTTTTGATTATAATAATAATAATAATAAACTTTCAAGAAACAGCTTGAATTGGCAGTGAAGTAAGGTTTGCAATTTTGAAGGTAACCAATGAAAATATAGCTTTCATTACCTTTCCAGAGTTTAACTCTTTGCCACACAAATTCTCAAGTATAATGCAGTGAAAACAAATAAATTAATTTTTGTGCAAACTACAGGTTAAGCAATAGTGACCATTCTGTTAAGCACATCAACCATTTCAGGAGTACCTTCATTGCTATCCCAACAAATGTTTCTATATCTAGTTCAATGCCACTAGTTTGTTCCAAAAGCCAAATTAGAAAATCATTCTAATTTGTCGGCCCTTTCAGTCAACTGAGGCCAATACGTTCTTCCCATTTAACACCTTGTACATATATTACTAATTGAGCTGTTAATTTTATTTTGTCAACTACTAAGGAAAAGAACAAATTTCTTTGCCATTTTTTTTTTGTTATAAGACATCATTTGACATACAGATGTTTCTACATTGCACTGTCATGATACTTAAGCTGGTGCTTTCAAATTTCTTCACCGAATCAGTATAGTTTTTGAGCAATAATCATACACTTTTCACAGTTATCGTCTGTCTCTTCGATGAACAAGTCTGACTGCAGACGAAGCTGACTGAAATTTTTAACTTTTCAATATTAAGTATTCATTAAAATACCTCAGATCTTAGCAATATTGTATTTTATCACTTTAGCATGGTTACTTAAAATGACCCCTAAATATAATAAACTACTTATTATTAATGACTGAAAAAAGTTATGTTGTGTACAGTTTATAAACCGAGTAAAGCTAATGGTAATATTCAGCATCAAAAGTTGGTGGTAGTTTGGTTTCTTATAGCTGATATAAAGGACTACAATTATTCTACTTGCAGGTTGCATGCAACCTACAGGTTGTGCATCCCTGCTTTAAAGGAACAGGTTAATATTAAACATAATATAAAATGGATAATAAAACTATTAAACGTGTAAAATATTTATTTTAAATGGAATAAAATGTATTTTTATTAAGGACATTTATGTCTAAGACTGGAACAACATCTTTGAGAGAGCAGATATTGCAGCAGATGGTACCCTAGCTCTGTGTAAAGCAGCATGCAGTGCCAGAGGATCAGACCAACCTGTCCACCACCAAGACAAAACACATTATTTATTAACAAGATAGCATAAGTAAACAATAACTACCTACTAGGACCCAGCTTGGAACATAATCCCAGCAAGATATTTTACCTCATCCTTTAATACTTTTCTTTTAAACAGAACATATCTTACTCATTGTAAATTTTCATTTTTATTTCTCTTATTTTACGTGTTTGTATTTAATTATCTACGTGTTACTACCAATTATAGTTACAGTATTAGGGTGATTATCTACAAGAAGGTCACGGAGAGAATCTACGTGCACAAAACATTTATATACAGGTACTGGTATTTCACAGAATGTTTCACAATATTCTTACCTTCAGGTTCATTAAGATTTACAGGTAAGGGAAGGTCTCGCATTACAAGTGTAAATGAACACTTTGCTGAATACTGCTTCTCTGTCTCTCCTTTCAGGTAGCGCACAATTTCGTCTCGTACCTCTGCAAAGTTTTTTTTTGTTAATCATAATAAAGTGGACCCCCAGTTTTCATAATTAATCCATTCCAGAGAGAGTGATTAAACCCGAATCTGACAATTTCCGAATTAATTTTCCCCATAAGAAATAATGTAAATCCAATTGATCCGTTCCAGACACCCAAAAGTATTAAAAAAAAATTTTTTTTGCAGATTAAATACAGATTTAGATACAGAAAAGTATGAGAAATCGAGTATAAAACAATAATATCACACTTACCTTTACTAAAGACTCTTGTTGGTGTATGGAAGATAGGACGAGGGGAGAGGGTTAGGGTGATGTTCCTCCACAAATGTTTGCACCTCACTCCACTTTGCACAAATGTCCTTAATCTTTGAAGGCACCTTCCCTCTCTCTTTCTCCTCCTCTGAAGCAATTTCCTCAACTAGTGTACATAAGAACATAAAGCAGGAACACTGCAGCAGGCCTGTTGGCCCATACTAGGCAGGTCCTTCACAAACCATCCCACTAACAGAATCGCATTTGCCCAACCCAGTTTTCAATGTTTCCCAAGCAATAAGCTTTGATAATTCTATTCACTCATGCGCAAGTCCCACTCAAGTCAAATTGTGTGTGCGGGGAAGTACCCTGGTTGGTGTTTGGGAAAGTACCCTGGCTGAAGTGTGGGGAAGTGCCCTGGTTGGTGTGTGTGGGGAAGTACCCTGGCTGGTGTGTGAGGAAGTACCCTGGCTGGTGTGTTTGGGGAAGTACCCTGACTGGTGTGTGGGGAAGTGCCCTGGCTGGTGTGTGGGGAAGTACCCTGTCTAGTGTGTGGGGAAGTACCTTGGCTGGTGTGTGGGGAAGTGCCCTGGCTGGTGTGTGGGGAAGTGCCCTGGCTGGTATGTGAAGAAGTACCCTGGCTGGTGTGTAATTCCTATTTTTAAAGCAGGGGACAAGTTGTTACCATCAAATTACCGCCCAATAAGTCTGACCACAATTGTAGGCAAATTACTAAGAGTCAATTATAGCTGATATTATAAGAAGCCATCTGGATAAGCATAATTTGATTAACCCTTTGACTGTCACAAGCCCCTTTCTGAAACTGTCATTCTATGTCGCAAAATTTAAAAAAAAAAAAAAAAAAAAAAAAAAAAAAAAAAAAAAAAAAAAAAAAAATTCTTATGAAATGATGGAGAATCTTTTCCTGATGGTAATGACACCAAAAGAACGAAATTTGGTCGAAAACTCACGGAATTGCGGTCTCAGCGACATATACGCATCGGTGATTTCGCCGACTTTGAGCCCTGTTTTTGGCCAATTCCGTTGTTCCAGTTGACCAAACTCATAGCTATTTCTTTAGAACTCCATTTTTTTCTATCAGTTGAGTACAAGAAACTGCCCATTTACCAATTTGAAGTACCCAATAAAGTGGTCAGAAATTGACAATTTGGCCAATTTCACGCAAATTAAAAAAGATGCCAATTTCATGCAAATTAAAAAAGATGCCAATTTCAAAATAGGGTCCAGAGTAAACAATGTAGACAATCTTGGCACTAAAATAACATATCCTCTGTTCATTAGTCACGTCTCTAGGCCCTTCTTATATTACTATTGCTTTCTATTTTGATTTTATATTCATACAAAAAATACAAAATTTACTGTTATGCAGACTACTGCATTATTGTAAAAATGGTATAAATTATATCAGTGCACTAGTGAAAGAATATTAGACTCCCCAGTTGACGTGTAGTGTGATTTGCTTACTCCTGAACATTGGTAAAAATCGAACATTTCCGCTACTTTGAGGTCAATTTCAAGGTCGTTTTCATCGTGAAACTAATCAAAATTATCTCTATTTCTGTCGTATGTTTTCCATTTTATCACATGAGACCATGAAAACGAGAATACAACGATAAATACTATACAAAAATACACCTCAAAGTCGGCACTTTAATCCAATAAAATGGTCAGTTTTTTTTTCTCATTATGCACTGCATGCTGCAGGAATTTTTTATGTGGTGCACACTGACCACACAGACCCATTCTCTCACATGTGGGCCCTACCAGCTTTCTCCTGCTTGATTTGAAGCCGCTAGAATTTATGCGTATTAATACGTCCGAAACACTGGCTCGTAAGACGTATATATACGACCAAAACAGTCAAAGGGTTAATGATACTCAGCATAGATTCACGAAGGGTCATTCCTGTCCAACTAATTTATTAACCTTCTTCAGTAAGGCTTTTGATCATGATAAAGAATTTAATATTGTTTATTTAGATTTTAGTAAGGCTTTTGATAGAGTACCACACTAGAGACTGTTAAAGAAAGTGGTAGCTCATGGCACTGGGGAAAAAGTGCTGTCATGGATTGAGTCATGGCTCACGAATAGGAAGCAGAGAGTGTTCATAAATGGGGTTAAATCCGAGTGGGGACCTGTAACAAGTGGCATTCCACAGGGATCAGTCTTGGGCCTGTGTTGTTTATAATATATATCAATGATCTTGATGAGGGAACTACTAGTGATATGAGCAAATTCGCCGATGACACAAAGATAGGTAGGATAATTGATTCGAACGTAGATATCATGGAACTTCAGGAGGATTTAAACAAACTCAATTCATGGTCAGAAAAGTGGCAGATGCAGTTCAGTGTAGATAAATGCAAGGTTCTGAAGCTCAGGAGTGTCCATAACCCTAGCACTTATAAGTTAAATAACGTAGAACTTAGCCATATAGATTGCGAAAAGGACTTGGGGGTTATGGTAAGCAGCAATCTTAAACCAAGACAGCAATACCTAAGTGTACATAATAAGGCAAACAGATTACTGGGATTTATATCAAGAAGTGTAAGCAACAGAAGTCCAGCGGTTATATTACAGCTTTATACATCATTAGTAAGGCCTCACGTAGATTACGCAGCTCATTTCTGGAGAATTGAGACACTTATGCAACTTATGGGAATCTTTATTGAAGAAACATTTTGCCACACAGTGGCTCCATCAGTCCAATAGAAAGTAGAAATGGGTAAGGAGAGAGACTGTCAGACACTGCAACATGGGATCTTGGTACAAAGACTTCTTCAATGCTTGTCCTACCTTTGGTAGACGACCTACTTACACTAGTGGAAGGTCCCTCTGTGATCCCACCTCCTCCTGCTTCGACTCACCTGACTGCAGTATATAAGCCACCTCTCTGAACCTATTCTGTACTTCCTACAAGAGTGATGGACTGAACACATTGATTCCAGGCTGAGGGACTGATTACCTCAATCTCCTCCTCTCCTTACCCATTTCTACTTTGTACTGGACCGATGAAGCCACTGTGTGGCGAAATGTTTCTTCAATAAAGATTCCCATATGTTGCATAAGTGTCTCAATTCTTCAACTTGTCAGTTTTCAAAATCATTCATCATAGCTCAGTTCTGGTCTTCATATTACAGAATGGATATAAATTCATTAGAAAACATTCAGCATAGAATGACTAAATTAATACATAGCATTAGAAATCTTCCGTATGAAGAAAGATTGAAGATCATCAACCCTTTCAGGGTCCACAGGCCCTCTCAGAGACTTGTCCTCAGGGTCCCCCAAATTTAAAAAAAAAAAAAAAAAAAAAAAAAAAAAAAAAAAAAAATCTTATGAAAAGATAGAGAATCTTTTCTCGATCATAATGACACCAAAAGTATGAAATTTGATGGAAAACTTACGGAATTATGTAATCGCGAAGTTAGCAGTCTCAACGATGTTTACGCATCGGCGATTTTGCCCACTTTGAACCCCATTTTCAGCCAATTCCAGTGTACTAGTCGACAAAAATCATAACTATTTCGCTAGAACTCCATTTTTTCTATCGAATGAGTACAAGAACCAACCATTTACCAATTTCAACTATTCAATACGTGGTCAGAATTTAGCAATTTTGCCAATTTCACACAAATTTCAAAAGATGCCAATTTCCAAACAGGGTCCAGAATAAACAAGAAAGACATTCCTGGCACTAAAATAACAAGTTCTCTGTTCGATAGTCATATCCCATGCCCCTCTTATATTTCTTTGGCTTTCCACTTTGAATTTTTATTCTTACAAAAAATAGAAGATTTACTGTTATGCAGACTACTGCATTAGTGTAGAAATGGTATAAATGATATCAGCGCACTTGTGAAAGAATATCAGACTTGCCAGTTGACGTGTATTGGAAGCGTGGCATGATTTGTTTACTTTTGAACTTTGGTAAAAATCGAACATTTCTGCTACTTTGAGCTCAATTTCAAGGTACTTTTCATTGTAAAACCAGTCAAAATCATCTCAATTTCTGTAATATGTCTTCCATTTTATAAAATGAGACCAGGAAAACTAGAATACAACAATAAATACCATATGAAAATACAGTGCGAAGTCGTTGTTTTAATCCAAAAACACGGTCAAAGTTTTTTTTCTCATTATGCACTGTGTGCTGCAGGATTTTTTTTTATACTGCGCATATTGACCACATAGACCCATTCTTTCATATGTAGGCCTACCAGCTTTCTCCCACTAGATTTGAGGGTGCTAGAATTTAGGCGTACTAATACATCAAAAACCCTGGCGCGTAAGCTGTACTAGTATGGCTGAAACCCTGAAAGGGTTAAATATCGTACAGCTATGCAGGTAGGTATAGCTATGTAGCCAGGTGTGCTACATCTACTGGCTACCTACACCTGACTTCCTACAAATAATACTACTCGCCTCTCATCCTACATTAAGACTACACATATTTTAAAGTAAACAATGAGTGTACTGTATGTGTATTTTATCTCCCTGGGCTGCTTTAAATATTGTATATTAAGTCTGGGATGGGGAGTAGTACCTACAAATAGGTACTACTCACCTCTCACCCTACATTAAGACTACAAATATTTTAAGATAAGTACTGAATGTATTGTGTATGTATTTGACTTTTTATTGTTTTTTTAATGCTTAGTTCTACTGTTGGCTTAATAAATGTTAGTGTAAACTTGTTGTCTGGCATTTGTATGCATTTATAAGTGGAAAAAATGGCGTTCTGCTTTCCAGCAATGTCCGCTTTCCGGCAGTAGCCTGGAACCTAACCTGTCGTATAAGTGGAGCCCTACTGTACTCTTTTTTGTAGTATCTCTTGACTTTTAATACCAGTGAATACTTTCTGTAGTGTTTTGCACAACAGAGGGTTGCACATGGAGCATTTAAAATTTCATATACAGTGGACCCCCGGATTACGTTGTCATTGGAATTCATAGTAGTATTCGGAATAAGTAACGTTTTTTCGTCAAAGTATTGGCTTGGTGATCGTTACTGCACTCGGTATTAGTCATTTGTCCCAAACACGACCGCACGGCCCGAGTGGTCCGACACACCATTTACAGCCAGTATGCCATTGTTTATCAGCCAGTGAGGACGCTCCCACACGTTCATATGATATATTTTGTATTATTCCATTCTTTTTAGCGCTGGCAGCTGCTAAATAAGCCACCATGGGCCTAAAGAAAGCTTCTAGTGCTGGCACTTTGATAAAGAGGGTAAGAAACACTATAGAATTCAAGAAAGACATCACTGCAAAATATGAAAGTGGAGTACGTGTCGCAGAGCTGGCCAGGTTGTATAACAAACCCCATACAACCATTGCTTCAATCATGACCAAGAGAAAGGAAATCAAGGAAGCTGTTGTTGCGAAAGGTGCAAATATGCTTACAAAACAGAGATCGCAAATACTGGAAGATGTGGGGACTTTGTTGTTGGTGTGGATCAACGAGAAACAATTGTCAGGAGGTAGTGTTATGCAGTCAATAATTTGTGAAAAGGTAAGGCAGTTGCATGATGATCTTCGTAAAGAAAATGCCTAGAACTAGTGCTGATATTGGTAAATTTAAGGCCAGCAAAGGCTGGTTTGAGAGATTTAAGAATCGTAGTGGCATACACAGTGTGATAAGGCATAGTGAGGCTGCCAGTTCTGACAAAAAAGCAGCTGAAAAATATGTTCAGAAATTCAAGGGGTACATAGAGGCTGAAAAATTCAAACCCCAACAAGTGTTCAATTGTGATGAAACAGGCCTCTTTTGGAAGAAAATGCCGAAGAGGACCTACATTACTCAGGAGGAAAAGGCAATCCCACGACACAAGCCTATGAAAGACAAGCTAACTCATGTTTTGTAGTAATGCTAGTGGGGATTTCAAAGTGAAGCCTTTACTGGTGTATCACTCTGAAAATCCCAGAGTGTTCAAGAAAAACAGTGTCATCAAGAGTAAATTGTGTGTGTCATTACAATTTCGTGAGTCATGTTGAAGGCAAACAGTAAGGTATGGGTCACGAAGGACATTTTCCTTGATTAGTTTAATGATGTGTTTGGCCCCAGTGTGAAGAAATACCTCCTGGAAAATAAATTGGAACTCAAGTGCCTTCTGGTAATGGGCAATGCTCCTGCTCATCCTCCAGACTTGGAAGAGCAAATTGAAGTTCTTGCCCCCTAATACAACTCCTCTCCTCCAGCCCATGGACCAGCAGGTCATTCCAAATTTCAAAAACTGTACACCAAAGCAGTGTTTCAAAAGAGGGAGAGTCCTGGAAAGATCACTTCAATATCTTCCATTGCATAAACCTTATAGGTAAGGCTTGGGAGGGAGTGACTTCCAGGACTCTGAACTCTGCTTGGAGAAAACTGTGGCCACAATGTGTACAAGAGAGGGATTTTGAAGGGCTTGGGACTGACCCTGAGGAGCCTATGCCAGCTGTGGAAAGTATTGTGGCATTGGGGAATTCCATGGGGTTGGATGTGAGTTTCAAAGATGTGGAATAGTTGGTGGAGGACCATGATGAAGAGCTAACAACTACAAAGCTGCAAAAGCAACAGACCACAGCTCAGGAAATTGCTTCAGAGGAGGAGGAAGAGAGATGGAGGAAGGTGCCTTCAAAGATTAAGGAGATTTGTACAATGTGGACAAAGGTGCAAACATTTATGGATGAACATCACCATGACAAAGCTGTTGCAGGCTGAGTTGGCAACATGTACAATAACAATGTTGTGCTCCATTTTAGGGAAGTTTTAAAGAAACACCAGATACAGACCTCTCTGAAACACTTTTTTGAGTGCCAGGGGTCCAGTGACTCTCAAGCTGGTCCTAGTGGCATTAAAAAACAAAGAAGGGAAGTAATCCCAGAAAAGGACTTGGTACCTGAAGTCTTTATGGAAGGGGATTCCCCTTCCAAATAATAGTATACCTCCATCCTTTCCCCTCCTCCCATCTCATCACTCATCAATGAGTCTTCAATTATGGTGTCATTTTAGTACCGTTTATTCTGCATGTCTTATTGTTTTCTGTGTAGGGAAATGTATATGTAAAAAAATTAATTTTTAGTACTTTCAGGTGTCAGGAACGGATTAATTGGATTACCATTATTTCTTATAGGGAAAATTAATTCGGAATTCATCAGATTCGGGTTTAGTCACTCTCTCTGGAACGGATTAATTACGAAAACCGGGGGTCCACTGTATAAGATGTTGGGCTGAAGTGCTGTTGTAAGCTCCTCTCTCCTATGTGCAGGTTATTTGTGCATAAGGTGTTTTGCTGTATTCTTTTAAAAATATCATGTTTAATAAACTGTACAATGTTCAGTATATTAGGAAGGAAGGGGTTATTGGGTCAGAGACTTAATTGTTAGGGGGACAAAGTGAAAAAAATGTTTGAGAACCAGAGCTAGAACATATGGTTAACTTAATTAAAATTTGTGAAAATTTTCAGAAAATTAGAAGAGTAAATCACAATATTGTGGCTAGAATGAATTACAATTAGCCTACAAATCAGAGAGGACACATGTTTTCTTTAGACTATATTCAAGTTACAGTATGTACTTGATAATGAATAGTCCAAGACTGACAAACATATTTTAAAGTTTTCTCTCTAAAATGTGTACTAACTGTGAATTTTGGGAACTAACCTTCAAGCCAAGTATCAGTAAGTAGCTCTAAGCGCTTATTAAGTGATAATGCTTGCTCAGCTGATATAAGAGGACTTGGGTTCACCACCAATACTCTCTTCACTTGATGCTGCACTTTCACTAGATGAACCAGTCAGATGATGCAAGAAATGAGCAGCACGAGCAATTAGCTTGACCTGCCACAACAGGAGTCCTGCTCGTTGGCTAAGCACTGAAACTCGCCTTACACCCTAAAATAGAAATAAAAAAATTCATGTGAGCATTTTTATGTATAATTAGTTCATGTATTTCAATTTCAATACACAGTACTCTAATACAGTGGTGATATAAATAAATCTTATGAAGAACCAATAATACACAGTATGACTATGGCTCAGATTTAAATACTTACAGTATTTGAAAAAAAGAAAAAATAGACAGGCACAGAAACAATTTAGACATAATATACATTATAACATTTTACAAAGCCCCTATTATCCAGCATTTCAGACAAGATTTACTGTAATGTACAGTCTCTCCTCACTTAATGATGGAGTTCTGTTCCTAACACCACATCAGGAGCATGCTGTAATGGTAGTGTGTGTGTGTGTATCAACCATCTTTCATAGTGTTTTAATGTCACCTCTGCACCATTCATAACATTTTTAGTATATGTTGAAATGTTTATACAGTAGTGTACTACATATTATAATAAAAAGAATAGAGAAAATCAGCTCTAATATACATTATTTAGGTATGTGTACTGGTCAGAGAGCCCGTCATAAGTCCAAGTCGTCGGTAAACAAGTACGTCGCTAAGTGAGGAGAGGCTGTAATTGTAAAAATTAAATTAACTATGTTCAAAGAGAGAAAAGTAATGGAATAAATGAGAAAGATAATATTTATCTGCACAAGTTGAATAAAAAATACATATACCATATAAATAAAAAGATTCAAGGTAGTAGGTTGGTAGACAGCAACCGCCCAGAGAGGTACTACCGTTCTGCCAAGTGAGTGTAAAACGAAAGCCTGTAATTGTTTTACATGATGGTAGTATTGCTGGTGTCTTTTTTGTCTCATAAACATGCAAGATTTCAGGTATGTCTTGCTACTTCTGCTTACACTTAGGTCACACTACACATGCATGTACAAGCATATAAATACACACCCCTCTGGGTTTTCTTCTATTTTCTTACTAGTTCTTGTTCATTTCCTCTTATCTCCATGGGGAAGTGGAACAGAATTCTTCCTCCGTAAGCCATGGGTGTCAGAAGAGGCGACTAAAATTCTGGGAGCAAGGGGCTAGTAACCCCTTCTCCTGTAAATATTACTAGATGTAAAAGGAGAAACTTTCATTTTTCTTTTTGGGCCACCCCGCCTCGGTGGGATACAGCCGGTGTGTTGAAAGAAAGACATAAAAAGATGAGATAGGAAATGTCAAAAGATATGTGCAGGCTTGGCATGTACGTATTTTAGTAGATGTATGTTTTGTATACTGTTTAGTATAATTTCTGCTGTGAAAGCCTGGAAGGAATACATTACTTCCTGCATAATGCCTGAATCTCCTAGATCTAATATGGTGGAAGTGGTCACCAAATACAGCTGATCTGATACGTGACCTCAGTCTGTCAAAGCAAGCAGCTCAACTTCTAGTATCTAAACTATGTAAAGGAAAAGAACTGTCTACAACAAGAAGTTAACGTAAAAGCTTATTGGACAAGAGAGGTTGAACTCCTTTCTTAATTCAGCCAAGATTAAGAACTTGTATACTGCAATAACATCACTGGACTTTTTTGAATGGGACTTCAATACTGGCCAGGAGATTGGCAGCTATTTATAGACAGGCCCAGTAGAAGTGTGAAATGTCTTATTGTACAATAGTAACCAATATGCATCTCTTCCAACTACTCACTCAACAAAATTTAAAGAATACGAAAATATTAAAATGATCTTGCAGAAGCTTTGCTATTATGAGGACAATATGTCTATTTGTCCTAGGTAGTAGGTTGGTAGACAGCAACCGCCCAGGGAGGTACTACCGTCCTGCCAAGTGAGTGTAAAACTGAAGCCTGTAATTGTTTTACACGATGGTAGGATTGCTGGTGTCTTTTTTTTCTGTCTCATACACATGCAAGATTTCAGGTATGCCCTGCCACTTCTACTTACACTTAGGTCACACTACACATACATGTACAAGCATATATATACACACCCCTTTGGGTTTTCTTCTATTTTCTTTCTAGTTCTTGTTCTTGTTTATTTCCTCTTACCTCCATGGGGAAGTGGAACAGAATTCTTCCTCCATAAGCCATGCGTGTTGTAAGAGGCGACTAAAATGCTGGGAGCAAGGGGCTAGTAACCCCTTCTCCTGTATATATTACTAAATGTGAAAGGAGAAACTTTCGTTTTTCCTTTTGGGCCACCCCGCCTCGGTGGGATACGGCTGGTGTGTTGAAAGAAAGAAAGATGTCTATTTGTGTTGATCTGAAAATGGTAAACTTCTTGCTTGCTTGCATGATCTAAAAAATAATTTCAGTGCCCTGCCTGATGAATATATTTTTCACATCTTTTATGTTTTTCAATGGGATACCAATTTTATCAAAAACTAGAGCATATCAAGCAAAAACAATGACATATTCGGAATCAGCACCACAAACTTACCCTAAAATTGGTGTAATATCATTGACCAGAAAATGAGTATTGACCAGTGTTGTATATTCTGAACACTTCTAGCCACAATCCATCTGAACTTTTGGTGCTGGACTCAATCAATAAATGCACAAGAAATTAAAGATAAGTGTACACTGTAAGCAGAAGCTCTTCAGAGTTACATATTATTTTACTTGTTCATTAGACAGAAAGAAAAGATTAACAATCCTGCCATAGTGTAAATCATTTAGCAGACTTATATTTCACACTCATGAAAGAAGGGTAGTACCTCCCTGGATGACTACTATCTATCAAATACACGTACGTATTAAGAATGCATATTCTACAATTTTCCCTATAATTCATATGGACCTCAGAAAATACAAGTACAGTGGACCCTCGGTTATTGGTCGTTCTGGATATTGGCCAACTCGGTTATCGCCCAGTTTTTGGCCGAAATTTTATTCCAGTTATCGGCCGTTATTTCACTTATCGGCTGTATTGGATGCATCCACCCACCAGCCGCTTGTGTATCAGTGAGTCAGTCTGGTTGTGTCTCTGGGCGAGTGAGGAAACTTCTGCTCGTTCATCCATACATTTCGCTATAATCCATTGTTTTTTGTAGTTATTAATTGAGTGCAACTGCAAAATAAGCAACCATGGGCCCAAAGAAAGTTCCTAGTAAAGTTCCTTTGGTAAAGAAAGTGAAAAACATGATGGAATTTAAGAAAGAAGTTGTTGAAAAGTATGAGACTGGTGTTCGAGTGCTAGAACTTGCTAGAATGAATGGGAAATCCAAATCAACAGTTACATCATCCTAGCAAAGAAAGTAGAAATCAAGGAAGCTAATGTTGCAAAAGGCTTTTTGCATGGAGGCAGGGAGTGTAGCAGAGAAACAGGGAGTGTGGAAGGGAGGCAGGGAGTGTAGCATGGAGGGAGGAAGTGTAGCAGGGAGGCAGGGAGTGTAGCAGGGAAACAGGGAGTGTGGAAGGGATGCAGGGAGGTAGTGTAGCAGGGAGGCAGGGAGTGTAGCAGGGAAACAGGGAGTGTGGAAGGGATGCAGGGAGTGTAGCAGGCAGACAGGGAGTGTAGCAGGCAGGGAGAGAAGTAACCCCAGAGAGGGCTTTGATACCTGAAGTCCTTATGGAGGGGGATTCCCCTTCCAAACAATAATCAGTCCTCCTTCTCTCCTCCTCCTCCCTGTCTTCCATAAGCCAACAAGAGTCTTCAATAAAGGTATGTAATAGTGATTTAAATGTTCATTTATTTATTTTATTTAGTTTTCATTGTTTTGTGTATGTAAAACTATAATTAATCTTTAAAAAATGCATTTTTCGTTAATATTTTTGGGTGTCTGGAATGGATTAATTGTATTTACATTAATTCTTATGGGAAATATTATTTCGGCTTTAGGGCATTTCAGTTTTAGTCCGACCTTCTGGAACGGATTACAGCTAATAACCGAGGGTCCACTGTACAGGAAAGCCACTCACCTGTAGAGCTGCTAACCAGTTGGTGATAGCCTGTGGTTTGCCCACTGATAAGTATTCATAAATGATGGTCACAAGTGCCTGAGTAAATGCTGCTTCTCCATCGTCTAATTTGAGATGTGATGCTGATGTAGATGTAGAAGTGGTGGTGGTAGTGGATGAAGTAGATGAAACTCTGGATGATGAAGAGATGGTTGCAGCAGATGGAACTCTGGATGATGAAGAGATGGATGCAGCAGATGATGCAGGGAAGGGGGATGACCCACCCACTAAGGTGCTCACTAATCTAGCTGAACACCCACTGACTTCTTCCAACACACAACCCTGCAATATACAGTTTTGTTCAACTATCAAGTGATTTTATTAACCTGTGAATTCCTGAGTATGTACACTTAATTTATTCAAAATATACTGTATTCAGCATCTGGATACAGTACCTACAAATTTTGTGTGTCAAAATTAACAGTCAGATGCAATATTGTATTTATATGTTTGGTAATGGTTACAAGACAAATATGATTTTTGTATTGGTAGTATACAATACCAGTAAGTAGATGAATAAGACAGTTGCAACATATGAGTAACTTTATTACTGAAATGTTTTGCCTGCACAACAAACTTTCTTAGTCAAATACAAAAAGCAGTAGAAATAGATGTGATATTATCAGTCTGTCATCCTTGGTAGGATCTAGTCAGTCCCTCAAGCCTAAAGCACAGGCATGCGGACAGATCGTAAATACAGTGGACCCCCGACATTCGATGGCATCGCCATTTGATAAATCCGACATTCGATGGCATCGCCATTCGATAAATCCGACATTCGATGCATTTTAACCCTTTGACTGTTTCAGGCCCCTCTCTGAAACTGTCATTCTATGTCGCCAAATATTCGAAAAAAAAAAAAAATTATTTTTTCTTATGAAAATTTTAGGAATATTTTTGTGAGTGTTTTAAGCCTAATAAAAAATTTTGCCATCAGTACTTACCAAGATATAGAGCCGCAAAATTTGCAGAAAGTGACGTGCGTACGGCAACAGTGGCAACTGCCGCCCACCCGGTATTCTTTTATTTACTCTAATTCAAAAGTTTCTTGCATTTTTCAATATTTTTCTTTTCCAGGTAACTTATGTGGCCTGTGAGACCAATGTAAGGTGCATTCTTCAAATATACACTCATTGTTTACAACACAATAACAGAACAAACTTTATCACTATTAGTTTGTGTATACACTTTGTTTACACAAACAAACAATACAAAACAATGTTTATTACTATTGTTCCATAATATATATACATATGTACAGTCACTAAACACGTTCCTAGAACAGCTGCAGCTTGTGGAACTCTTTGAAACATGGGTATATGCAGAGGGGCACTTCACACTCCTCACACATAAAACGAGTGTCTCTGCGTGTTTGTGGGCGTTTTGTGGTATGCATACATACATAACACCTCTTCTGAGCATTTTTCTTGGCAGTAGTAGGAGGCAGTTGTATGGGGTCGTGATCACCAGGCCTGAAACGAGATGACGTGTGTGGGCGCTGGTCTATTGCAGGAGTTGCTCCTTGGTACTTTGCAATTATTTGTCTGATTACTGACAGGCAAAATTCACCATACAGTGGACCCCCGCATAACGATGGCATCACATAGCGATTATTTCGCATACCGCTTACTTTAATTGCAAAAATTTTGCCTCACATACCGCTTAAAAACCCGCTTACCGATTTTCGTCCGAGACGCGTCCAATGTGCGGCCTGAGCCACGCTCACATGTTCCGCCGGTGGCATTGTTTACCAGCCAGCCTCCGCGGTAACATCCAAGCATACAATCGGAATATTTCGTATTATTACAGTGTTTTCGGTGCTTTTTCTGGAAAATAAGTGACCATGGGCCCCAAGAAAGCTTCTAGTGCCAACCCTACAGCAAAAAGGGTGAGAATTACAATAGAGATGAAGAAAAAGATCATTGATAAGTATGAAAGTGGAGTGCATGTCTCCGAGCTGGCCAGGTTGTATAATAAACCCCAATCAACCATCGCTACTATTGGTGGTACAGCTGCTGCTGCTGCTGCACTGTCAGCTGCTGCTGCTGCTGTAGCACGTTGTTGGTGTGGCTTATTGAGAATACCAAGAAACAATTAACCCCAGAGGATTGCCACCCAGGATAACCCAAAAAAGTCAATGTCATCGAAGACTGTCTAACTTATTTCCATTGGGGTCCTTAATCTTGTCTCCCAGGATGCAACCCACACAAGTCGACTAACACCCAGGTGAACAGGGAAAAATGCCTGGAACTAGTGCTCATATTGGTGAATTTAAAGCCAGCAAAGGTTGGTTTGAGAGATTTAAGGGAATCGTAGTGGCATACACAGTGTGATAAGGCCTGTTCTGGAAGAAAATGCCAAACAGGACCTACAGTACTCAGGAGGAAAAAGGGACTCCCAGGACACAGTGTCTCATCAGTCATTGCTGCATCTTCAATAAAGGTAAGTGTCATTTATTCTTCATTTAGTAGACTAGTACATGCACAATATATACTGTGCATGTACTACTCTACTATTGTGCATGTATCCTTCTCTTTGTGTGTGGGAAAATGTATATTTCATGTGGTAAATTTTTTTTTTCATACTTTTGGGTGTCTTGCACGGATTAATTTGATTTCCATTATTTCTTATGGGGAAAATTCATTCACATAGCGATTATTTCGCATAACAATTACCCCTCTTGCACGGATTAAAATCGTTAACACGGGGGTCCACTGTATTTTGGTGTTTTGTTGGTCTTCAATTTGTATATGTTATAAGCATTTAGCATAGAGATATCAACAAGATGGAAAAAAAGTTTTATATACCACTTATAACTCTTGTGTACACAGTCTGCAAACCCAATCTGCATGTCACATTTGTCCACTAAGCGCATATTGAGGTTGTAGTCCATGACAGCTGCAGGCTTTAGAATGGGTTCATTGGTCTCTCTGTTCTCCCTGCCACTGGGTACCATTTCGTTTCTGTGAACTGATGTCAACAATGTGACATCATGTTTGTCATGCCACCGAAATGCCATGATGTCACTGGCAGCAAAGGCTTGCACCTCACCTCTGCGAGTGCCAGCGTCGAACCTTGGCATATGTTTACGATTACGACGCACTGTGCCACACACGTCTGTCAAGTTCACTCGCAAGAAATCACTGAGTAAGGGGCTTGTGTACCAGTTATCAGTAAATAACATATGCCCCTTACCAAGATATGGTTCCATCATTGTTCGAACCACATCACCAGAGATACCCAATAACTTCATGGTATCTCTCAAAGTATTACTGCCAGTGTACACAATGATATCCAAAACTAGACCACTTCTGCAATCACACAGTACAAATAGCTTTATACCAAAGCGTTTCCTCTTGCTTGGTATATATTGCTTGAATGAGTCTTCCTTTGAATAAAATCAAGGACTCATCAATAACAAGCTTCCTGAAGGGATAAAAATACATGCAGCACTTTTGTTTCAGGTACATAAACACATTTCTGATCTTATATAACCTGTCGCTTCTGTCAGGCCTGGTTTTGTCTGAAAAGTGTAACATACGTAACAGTATCAGGAAACGATTGACACCTATAATGTCACTAAAACCTTGAGTTGAAATCAGGCGTTCTGTTGCCCAGTATGTGGTGACAGTGTGCTTATACACATGTGGCATAAGCATTATTGTGGCAAAAAACAGGTACATCTCAGCCACAGTTGTCTCCTTCCACTTGTGTAGCCGTGATTTTGGTGAGAGAATTGTATTTGCCATGGTGTAATCACAGTATGTGTTTGTTTCCCTGACAATGATGTCCATCAGGGGTTCATCGAAGAATAACTCAAAGCAGTCCAGTTCACTGGCATTGTTCCCAAGTGGACAATATGGCTTTATTCCACTTTGTGTTTCATCAAAGTCATGGGGACTGGGAACAAACTCGTCACCGTCCTGCCAATCCCAGATGCGGTCTGCTGGTGAGGTCTGGATATTGTACCGTGGTTGTGGTTGTGCAGGTTGTGGTGGTGCAGGTTGTGGGAGTGTGGGGTAGGGTGAGGCTGGTTGTTGTGCAGAGTCAGCAGCGTGGGTAGTAGCGTGGCCCGCTGATGGTGCCACATGGGCCGTGCCACCCTCACTATCACCACCACTACCTGCTCCATCACTCACATCATTCATACCCATCGTTACAATATCGTCATCTTCACTATCAGGTCGTGGTGTAGGGCCACGGGATGTGCTCCCAGAGTTTCTCCTTCCCCTTGGAACAACATATGAAACACTACCAGACCGCATGCTACGTCGTACATACTGCCGCTTTCACTGGGGAATATTCACTCTCACTGTCACTAGAACTGCTTTCAATGACCTTGAAATCACTATCACTATCACTGCTAACATCTGGGTGTTGTACACGACCAAATAGTTTCCTCTTTCGTCCTGGTACAGGTGAACGTGAACGTGAACAAGCCGGCCCAGCACCAGAGGTGGAAGGTTGTGGGTCATCTGGGTTTTCATCACTAATTACGTTATCCTGGGCACTTTTTCCAGTAACACTCACTTCAAAACCCTGGAATTCACTGTCGCTGACATTTTCATCGCTGTTAGAGCTATCACTTGGGAACAAAAGACCTCCAATCCACCGAGGAGTGAGGAACTTCTTACCGAGAGGCATGGTGAAAATGGACTAACAACATGGCGTTCCCACAATGCACCGCTGGGTCCCAGATTTTTTTCACAGGGTGCACACCGACCACTGAGACCCATTCTCTCTCATGTAGGCCTACCAGGCCTTTCCCGCTTGATTTGAAGCCGCTAGAATTTGTGCGTATAAATACGTCAGAAACATTGGCTTGTAAGACGTATTTATACGTCGGAAACAGTCAAAGGGTTAATGCAAAAATTTCGCCTCGACATTCAATCGAAAACCCGCTATTTGACACGATTCGTACGAGACGTGTCCACGTGTGGCCTGAACTGCCCCGTGTGTGCCAGTGTTTACAAGCCAGCCAGTGTGCGCGCATCTAAGGATACATTCGGTACATTCCATATTATCCATATTATCACTGTTTTTGGTGCTTGTTTCTGCAAAATAAGTCACCATGGGCCCCAAGAAAGCTTCTAGTGCCAACCCTGTGATAAAAAGGGTGAGAATTAGTATGGAAATTAAAAAAGATTTTGAAAGGTTTGGGGCTAACCCTGAGATGCCTATGCCAGTTGTGGAATCCATTGTGCCTACTTCAAAGATTAAGGAAATGTGTGCAAAGTGGGTTGAACTGCAAACCTTTATGGATGAAAATCACCCTAACGCAG